TCCTTAGACGAAATCGGGTGAATATATCTCATTACATTGATTTACTGGTAGTCTCGAAACCCTACTTACTTACAATTATTTACTTAATTGATAGGCATGCCAACGTCAGCAACGATATCAAATATAAGCTTAGCCAACGCCTCAAGCTCTATCAATTTTGTCTTTCTCATCCCTCAGCTGCATTTATGTCTGAACGCGAGTGACAACTAGGCAGCACCCTTGGGATTCGAGCTAATTCCAACTTGTATATAAGACGAGTAACTGGGCTTTAATGATTCTCTTGAGGTAACCTTGAAGTTGAGACTTTTATTTCGTATAAAAGTACATAATGAAGAGATTTGTAGATTGATCACACCGGAAGACGACGGCTGCTTCCCGTTGTTGTACCGATGTTACGGTTGGTGCTGTCAACTAGACATCCTCCGTTGTTTCGGGTGCTAATGGGCCGGGCTTTCCTTCTTCATGCTAGAACACGGACATTTTTGCAAAAGCTTAAGGTTAACATTACGTTATTAAGACTATCAGACTATATCCTTCTCATGAATAAAAATGAGCATAGATAGATATACAGGGATATAAAACTATTTGGTTAGTTCACTTTCCTATCATTAAGAGTACCTATATTTGACAGCATGTGTCTGTGCATGTGGGTGTGTGTGTGTCAACGTCTGTAGGCGTGTAAATCAGAGTGTGCGATAAAGCTTGTTAAGCCTAGACAATTTGGCCTATGCGTTCCGACATCGAATTTCTTTGTGGTTCACCCAGTGCCAGAGTTGCACAAGCCTTATTCCTCGCATGCTATGCCAAATATAAACAGTTTAGGCTAGCCAGTACATAGTTCGCATTTTTGGATCAGCTTATTCAAGCATTTTAGAACAATTTTCCCCTCGAATTTGTGCCTAATCATTTATCTCTCTTGTCTTACTCACAGGCGTTCACTTTATACTTTTGCTCCAACCCAGCGATACTAAACTTGCCTTGAAGTTTACCAGGAATGCCATTTTGGTGCTTGTTTGTCTGCACGCGATCGCTTGAAGCACAGTGCAGAACAGTCAATGTATTCGCCCTCCAACTCCAATAGATTGATTTGGGGCCACACACACAACAGTCCAAAAAGTCAGTCTTCAGCTTGGGAACAGATGAATGCAGCTAAACTATGAGGCTAGAGGGAATTTCATGTAATTCATGTTATTATTTCATGCAATCTTGGCATATGATCGAATAATACGCCTATACTCGCATTGCATAACCAAGAGCTAAAAGTTAAAGGTCTGATTTTTATGCCAGATTTTCCATCACTCCTCCTATGTGTGCATGGTACAACATTATATCGCCCACGTAATAAGACAAATTCACCAATGTATCATGAAAACCTAACCAAGCTTGGATCCAAATAAACAGTTCAGATGAATTATTTCTCGCGAATGAAAATGGATAACTTCAAAAGTGGTTGGCTTGCCTGAACTAGAAGAGAGTGGTGTGGTGGAGTGGTGGGGAGAGGAGAGGAAGAAGATAAATGAGTGTTAGAAGAGTATTCCACAGCCAAGCCCAGATCATAAATTGACTAGCCAAAACGAAACTGTCTTGTGCAAATATTATCTATCTGGAAATCTCAATGGTGCATCTTACCCTACAGTCCAATATGGAAAAAAATTATCAATCACCCGCATAGCAATAAGTATTTGCCCTTGGTCGATAGTTGATGGATTAACAAACACTTGCTAGCAACGATAAGGTGTTGAGAAATCTCGGCGAAGTCATGGTTAAATATTTATGACAGGCTCGCTTCGGGTCTGCATGTAAACACTGGTTGCGAACAAGAACACATTGTTTGCCTCTCAATATTGGATTCGCCATAACCCAATTAAACGAAGCCTGCATTACATCCATCGAAAATTCTTCCCATCTAGACCCAGGTGACATCAACATTAATACAAATGAGAAATGTAGTGCATTT